GGTGGTGTTTGACATGCTGAAGCGTCAAAGGGTGTATAGGCAGGTTTTATTCTATTTATTGAGACAGTTTGTTCTTTGCCTTTCATGAGTAATTTGTAAATCTTGTCTCCTCTTTCCAGCACTTTGAGGGACTGGAGTACGCTGGTTGCAGTGAACCTTTTACAGAGTCATCCCTGACATAAACGTGAGTCGCATTTGGTAAGTCTTTAAAGATAAATACTTTTTTACTACCGTGACGTGTTCCAGGTGATGGACGAATATTGTTCATTATCAGCCTTAAGCGTGATAAGAAATCCGTTATGTCTGTGCTACTTTCGCTGTTGTTAGAATGCAGAAATTCTCCTGGTAATCTAAGTGATTCATCATAAAGTAACTCAGCGGGTGATGCTTGAAGGTCTTGTTTCAATGCATTTCTCATACCCAGTAATACTAATGGCAATGATTCTGTCCATCGTTGATTATTGTGACATACGATAGCGGCTTTAAAATGTCTGTGCATCCTTTCTCTACCATACCGTTGCACGCTGGGTGGTAAGATGTAGTTCGCTTATGCTGAAATCCGATTAGATTGGATAGATGTTTAAATAAGGAACATTCGAATTGTCTTCCTCGATCTGTGATGATTTCAGCAGGACACCCAAAACGCGAGATCCAGCCATTAAGAACTGCTTTTGCAACAGTTTCAGCAGTGATATCTGATAAGGGTATTGCCTCAGGCCATCTGGTAAATCTATCAACTACTGTAAGACAATAGCGATATCCATCTGATACAGATAAAGGTCCAATTATGTCTATATGGACGTATTGGAATCTGGCAGGTGGTAATTTGTATGTGCCTAAAGGTGCGGAGACATGACGTGTTATTTTTGCACGCTGGCAGGGGTGACACGTTTTCGACCATTCACGACAGTCTCTCTTTACTCCTGGCCAAACGTAGCGTTCTGTTATCATCTTTGTTGTAGCTTTGACCCCAGGATGGCTCAGCGAATGTACACTGTCAAAGACTTGCTTCCTTAAGTTTTGAGGTACGTAAGGCCTTTGATTTCCAGTTCAATCATCACAATATAGGTCTGTCTTCGTGCCGGGTATTGGTACCTTAACTAATCGAAGTGATGTCCCACCTTTCAGACTTTCTTTCAGTTCCGTATCCACGTCCTGCATTTTGGCTAAGGTAACTAGATTAACAGGCTGAACTAATTCTTCCACTCTTGAAAACGTATCAGCCACTATGTTATCTTTTCCAGAGATGTGTTGGATGTCAGTGGTGAACTGTGATATGAATTCGAGATGACGATACTGGTGGGGTGAGCACTTATCTTTTCTGATGTGAAATGCATAACAGATTGGTTTGTGATCAGTGAAAACAGTAAAATGTCTTGCTTCAAGCATGTGTCTAAAGTATTTCACTGACTCGTATATAGCAAGAAGCTCCCTGTCGTATGGCGAGTATTTCTGTTGGGCTGGTTTCAGTTTCTTAGAGAAGAATGCAAGTGGCTGCCATGATCCAATCTTTACTTGCTGCAAGGCGGCACCGATTGCCTTATCTGAGGCGTCGGTTACCAAACCTAATCTTGCGTTCAGATCTGGATGTGCCAAGAATGCTGCTTGACAGAGGCTAGTTTTGCACTGCTCAAAAGCATGTAGGGCTTCTCCCGATATATCCACGGAACGTGATCCTTTTACGGACCCCGTCAGCAAAGAGTTTAATGGTGCCTGAATTTCGGCAGCTCCTTTGATAAATCGGCGATAAAACTTTAGCATCCCTAGAAAACGCCGAAGTTCTCGTACGGTTTTCGGAGTGGGGAAATTTTCGATGGCTTGAACCTTACTGTCCAAAGGCTTAACACCGTTGGCTGAGACGTGATACCCTAAAATACCCTTAGGAGCTTGTGGTACACCTGACGGTCGGGTAATCTCCGGAAAGTCACGTAGTAATTCAACATACTTTGAATTACCTCTCATGGTTTTAACTGAAGCTATCACATTAGCTGTAGCAGGCTCAGCAGGTGTTTGCAACGAAGTACTATTATCTATTAACCGACGGTTACGACAGTCGACAATCGGCTACTACATAGCGCCATGAAAAATCTCGTCGAAGTCCCAGATTTAGTTCGAGATGAGCATAGCCGTAGGTGAGTATGGGAGTTCCATTTGCCGCAAAAAGTTCGTAAGATGTTCGAGGTCGTCGTTGTTTAAGTGCCGTGCGCGGGAAGACATCAAGGTCGCTTCCAGTGTCGACCAAGAATTGCATCTTCGTTCTGCGATCCGTGACAAACAGGCGACCGGATGAACTGAGGCGATCATTTGTCGCCACTAAGGACTGCCCTGATCGTTTCCCTGTTAGTAATCACAAGGCTTAACGCACTTATTAGCCTTATTGCCGAATTTATAATGATAGTAGCAAAATGGAAACCTTCTATAATTTGACTGAGATCGATTACGAGTATGACTGTGACTATGGTTTCGGTCTCGTTTGTTGTCTCTATTTTGCGACCGTGATTTACTTTGATTCCGGAAGGATAATGCTTGCACTTGACGAGTAAGTTCCGCGATCTGTTTCGACATTGTATCAAGTAAAGATCCTGGTGCTGCATCCATTGAAGCTACGTGTGGAGATGCCGGAACAAGTTCGTGCACCTTATCGGCTAAGGCAGCCAGTGCTTCCAAAGTTGAATCAGGCTGTGATGCAATTACGGTATGCAAATTGTTTGGGAGGCGACTAGTCCATATTGTCCTGATAAAGTCATCTGGGACGTTAGGGCCCGCTAAATGTTGCAAATGTCGTAAAAATTGTGACGGACGCCTATCTCCAAGTTCCTCATGCATTAACAATTGCTGCACTTCTTTTTCTCGAGATGCTGAGAGCCTCTTGATAAGTTCTGTTTTAAGTTTCTCTTATTTATCTTTTTGAGGTGGTGAAACTATAATGTCTTTGACTTCTGCCGCATATCTATGGTCTAATTGTGCAATTACATAATAATATTTTGTTTCGTCTTCTTTAATACCGGATAGTGCAAAATTCCCTTCTACTTGTGCGAACCACACAGCAGGCTCTTCAGCCCAAAACGGTGGCAGTCGGACACCGACACGACATATATCGGGTGGTGTAAATGACCCTTCTTCGTTACGTGTTTCCCGTGATAATGATTGGGAAGGTTTAGCTTGTTTCTCTGCCATCTTATTTTGAATATTGTTATTTAAATATTACTTTGGATTCTGCTTACGTTTGGGTTCTCGCAGTACAAAGTCCAAGCGGGGTCACCAGTGAAGTGATGTGGGGAGATTCTTAATAAATTACTCACCAATCACTTTTTATAAAAGTTTATTCTAAGCAGAACGGTTCACACAATTAAATAGTTCACATATGGTATAGTTCACAGCTACAATAATTCACGAATACAATAGTTCACATATAAAATACTGTTTATAATTTAGCACAAAGCGTAGCACAGAAGTTATTAGCACGAGAAGGAAGATAAAGTTCAAAGCAAATAGCAAAAACAAACAATAGCCGGGCGCAAGCGTCATACGTCTTATCGTCACAGTGATATTCTTATTAACCACGTGGCGGGTGCGCCGTCTCGATGTCTTCAATCCTTTGTTCGAATGCATTATCGGAGCGTCTTTACTACTCGACGACTTGATCACGATTTCTGCGACGATACGACACGACTCAAAGGTAAGTTTAATATTACTTATAAATTTTTGTATTCTATTTTAATTTTAATTGTGTAATGTAGATTGTGTAGTTATAGATTATTAATTTTAATTGTTTATTTTTCTTTTTCAGATTAATGACGCCATATCACTCCCCCCCCAGAGACCATCTATGATGGGCGATAATAATCAGGTAATTTAACTCTGCGTCCTGAGCCTGTACAACTTCTCTCATACTCTTCTTTTTTGTTTGCAGGTGGTGTTCGACATGCTGAAGCCACAAGGTTAAATTTAAGGAAAAAATTTGTAAATTCATATAAAATATACGCGAAAATGTTTTTTTTTTCATATTTAATTATTTGTCGTTTTGTATACATGTTGTTGTGTGTCTATAATTACTACATGTTTAATTTGTGAGTATTAAATAATTGCCTGTATTTAATTAATATTGGTTTGCTGAAATTGCGCCATGCACTGTACTTTATTGTATAAATATAATATTTATACTCTACTCTGATTACGTTCGTATCTCTAATTTATTTCAACATCTCCTTCCCTATTATTTTTTTAAAAATTATGTTGAATTTTAAACTTTAAGTATATAATTGATTCTATATAATACTAAACAATCTTTTATAACTACTAAGTGACAATAGGGTCGTAAGTTCCACTGCTGGTTTTATGTTTAAGTATTTTTATGGTTTTTTAATAGAATTATCGTTACATTTAGCTGTACTAACATGATGGAGCGTGAATAAAACTAATAAAACGTTGTAAAAAGATGATTTTTTTCCTCGAGATCAATTTTCTTCCTGCCCATGACCAAAGGTATCGTTAGTACTATCGCTTGTCTTTGTTTTCGGGAGCGTTTCAAAAACACCCGGTATAATATTTGTGGCGGCGCTGTCATCACGCCACAAGCGAAACACATCGACGCTTGAATAGCGCTAACGAAGTTCCGAAGTTAAAGCAGTATATAGAGAATAGCTCCGAACTACCACTCGGAGCGTTTGCCGCTCCCCGAGTAGAACACCTTGCCCGGCGGGAGATCTCCCATTTTCTTTTCACCGGCTACATATTTAAATAAGTTTGATCTACGTGCGTGCGTGTGTGTGTGCGTGCGCATGTGCGCGTTTGTGTATGTGTGTGCGTGCACGCGTGTGTGCGTGTGTTTGTGTGTGTGTGCGCTTGTGTGTTTGTGTGCGTGCGCGTGTGTGTGTGTGTGTCCATACATCTCCCACTAACTTTCCGGTTGGCTGGTAGAAAATGCCATATGGCATTAAGTCCGCCGTTTGTACCTGTAGTACAATAAAGTGTATAAATAAATAAATAAAATAATAGTTGGAATGTGACATTATTTTATTGCGTTATATTAAAATCTAAAAACTATTTATACAAAGATCTTTGTATTATTTGACAAATACTTACAATGTATTTGAACAATTAATATCTCTAGCTTATGTACTGTTTAGCGCGAGACAATCTTTATATTATAATATAAAGTTCACAAGTAACAATTTACTAAGTTCCTGGTCACGCCCATGCTTAATATCGTTATTAACATTTTTCAGATCAAATACATAAAAGTTATAATAAAGGAATTTTAATCACACAATTTGAATCAATTTACTAGATTAATTTTATGCTTGTTTTTATAATTGTATACAAAAGCGATAAGTTATATCTCATGTAATTTATTAATAAATAACTTTAGGTAACTCCACTATATTGTAAATATTATTATACTTAATATATAACGTAAAAAAGTAAAAGTTTTGGTTGATTTTTCAATTTATGTACACAATATAAATCAATAAATCACTTTTTGTTATACATATTTTTCTAATTTGACTACATGAACGCATTGATGCTTGAACACACGGAAATGTTATCTCAAATAAGAAATTGTACATTTGGAGCCACTGTAACTTTATTTTTAGTCTCCCAAGCCTAAATAGGGGGGTAAATTCTGTCGAATCATAAACCAAAATCGTAAAGTGTCCCTCTCTATTTTACTATCTGATGAGAATATTAGTAACATTTCACAAATCAGACTTAATATTTACACTTATTTTTAACAAATTAACTTTCCCCGTCATGAAATCTGTCAATTTCAAACTTATTCCAAAGTGGCGCCGCTCTGGTGATAGAAAAAGTAGTGGCACAGATTCAAATATCAACTTGGGGCTGATGAAAAGAAAGAAGTCTAATAAAATCTGTGTAGTCAGCTGCGTCCAACATTGATTTGTCTGAGAGTAAGATTATAAAACCTCATTGGCGTAAATTCGAATTTCAACACGGGATTGATGAAAAGAAATATGGTGGTATAATAAATAATAAAGCTGTGACCGTCGATTGGTCTAGTAAGGAGCGCGCTAAGAGTCGGTGTGCGGTGTAAGCTGTATCCAGGTGTAAATTCGTCTAGGGAGGATCGCGCTAAGAGGCGGCGTGCGGCGGGGCGTGTGGCGGGGCGTGTGGCGGGGCGTGGGGCGGGGCGTGGGGCGGGGCGTGCGGCGCAGCGGGCGCGCGGTGCAGCAGGCGGTAGCGGCGGTGCGCGGCCTGCACGCGCCGGAACTCGCCCAGCAGCGTCTCCAGCTCCGACTCGCTGCACTGCACGCCCACACTCTCCTCTCTACAACGTTCATTCCACACCTTAACGTTTTTCATTTTCATTTCAACACGCCAATAAATTAAATTAAATATACAGGGTTATTTTGCAATAACTGGCCAAATTTGCAGATGAGTTTCAGAATAATATAATCGAATAGTAAAAAAATATTAAAAATATTTAGTGACCGACATAGCCCAACGGATTAGTAAGCTGAAGTGGCAATGGGCCGGCCATATAGCTCGAAGAACCGACAACCGATGGGGAAGAAAGGTTCTCGAGTGGCAGCCTCGTACCGGCAGGCGAAGTGTAGGGCGTCCCCCCACTAGATGGAGTGACGACCTGGTAAGATATGCAGGAAGTCGATGGATGCAGGTGGCTCAGGACCGTGCTTTGTGGCATTCTTTGGGGGAGGCCTATGTTCAGCAGTGGACTTGTGAAGGGCTGTAATGATGATGATGATGAAAATTAAATTTATTTTAATTTTATTTATTTATTTATTTTCACCAACAATATACATTCAGATATCAGGTCTATGTTCAGCAGTGGACTTGTGAAGGGCTGTAATGATGATGATGATGATACACATTCAGAAAACAAAAAAATATGTGCTTACATCTCATACAATACGATGGTTAGGTGAAAAACTGGTGCCTAAACTAGGTAAAACCTGTATCTTAGGTCACCATTTTATTCCCAAGGAGGGTGATATAACAGAAATAAAAATAAAACAGAAAATATTGGTTACTGATAAATAAATAACATGACAAGAAAAATATGGAGTAATAAATATGGAGAGAATAAGAAAAATATAACAATAAAGACTTGCTACTGGTGGCATCGACGTGTCGTTTTGTGACGTCACCATAAAACAACATTTTACTCATCAATATTCCCCAAAAGTCAGTTGATGACCTAGGAGCTTGGTTCAAAAAATGGCGCATCGATGTGAACCCGGAGAAGAGCTCCGCCGTTCACTTCGATTATAAACGACGCCGTCTCAAAAACACTCCACCAATACGTATGCTAGGGACCCCTGTTCCCTGGCATACGTCTGCCAAATATTTAGGTGTCACTCTAGACACAGGGCTAACTTTCAGGCCCCACGTCAAAAGAGTAACCCGTCACGCACGTTTTTACCTGAATAGGCTCAACAGTATGTTGGGCCGACACAGTAAAATGTCCCTCAGAAACAAGCGTACCCTTTATAAGGTCTGTATACGACCAGTTATGTCCTACGCGGGCCCCATTTTTGCCCACGCTGACCCTAAAATTATTAATGAACTCCAAGTAGTTCAAAACCTTTTCTGTCGTCGAGCTGCGAACGCACCTTGGTACGTCCGCAATGCCGACCTTCATCGGGACCTAGAGCTCCCTACAATTCAACAATTCCTTAAAAAACTCTCTGAGAACTTCTTCAAAGCCTCAGAGTCGCATTCCAATCATTTTATTCGTGAGGCTGCTAATTATGCAGCCCCACTCCCCTCCCGCTATAGCGTCCGCAGGCCGAGGAACTCCCTCTCGGACCCGCCTAATAAACTTTCAAACGACCTGAACTGCCTCCTGGCGGCTCAGGCCAACTCTAATTAAGTTATTCATAATTAATTTGCCTTCGTAGGCACTCCCTCAGCGGCTAATAGCCGCCTCCGCCCTCTTTTCCCAAAAGAGGGTCGCTTCCGATACGGCATAAGAAGCTTTAAACAGCTAGTTGCCAGTCCCCAAAGGCGGTTTTAGTGGGTATCACTTAGGTTCCCCAGTAGGTAGTCACAGTGAGTCCCACATAACCACGATAGACCGGCTGTCGTGGTATGCGTAATGCATTTCCGCCTCCCTACATAAAGGGTAGCCCTTTTCCAATTGCTTCGGGCGCAAAAAAAAAAATCAATATTTCAGTCATTTTTAAAGGTAGAAAAAAAATAGGAATACCGTTGAATTCGTAATTTTTATACAATTTTTTGATACCCTTAACAAAATTGGGTGGCCAGACGCATTGTCAGTAACAAACTAACAAGTTATTAATTTTATTATATCTTTTCAAAATAGTTTCCATTTACATCAATACATCGCTGTATCCGATGGAATCACTGAGAAAAGCACTTTGCCCACTCGTTAGGGATCTCTTCGTTGACATTTTGAAACGCGGCCACTGCATTCCGGCGTCCATAAAACGTTTTCCTCGAAATTTTTCTCTTATTTTCAGAAATAAATAAAAATCGCACGGTGTGAAGTCGGGGCTATAGAGTGGGTAACCCAATAATTACACGTCTAACGTCGCCAAGTAGTCGATTGTTTACTTGGCGGTGTGCGACGAGGCGTTGTCGTTGTGAAGGAGGATCCTACTGCGAGGTCGTTTCTCCCAAACTTTTTCCATGACAAGTGGCAAACAATTGTTAGTGTACCACTCTGCAGTAAATGTTTTCCGACCCTCTAAAACAATTGTTGCGTAATGACCTGTCCTTCCGAAGAACAAGGCCATCATCTTTTTTCCCACGCTTCGACCTCTCTTCACTTTAGTTGGCAACTCCTCGGAAGGAAACATCCAGACAGCAGACTGTCTCTTAATTTCAAGATCATAACAATAAATCCAGCTTTCGTCACCCGTAAGTATGTCGAAACACAGCATTTGAGTCACCTCCGTTAAATCTTTGAACACCAATCGACTCAACGGAGTTTTTGGGTCTCCGTCAAATTATGAGGTTATCCACCGGGCACAAAGCTTCCTGAGCTTGTCCAAATCTGCTGATAAGTCACTCTTTTGCCAGTCTCTGTCATATGCCGCACCACACTGATATTATCTTCAGTCGTCGCCGTAGAAGGCCGTGCCTCACGCAGATCATCGGTGAGATTAGTGCGACCACGTTTAAACTCATTAAACCAATGTAAACTAGATGGGGCTTCGTGAAAGGCCAATCGAAGTCTATCATAACTTTCTTGTTGACTTAAATGACATCGAAATTCGTAAAAAATCATTGTACGGAAATTTTCTCGTGTTAGATTCATGCTGACGTGACACAGACAATTTTCAATTTGCCGCCAAATCGTAAGCAAATGACAAATTAATAGTGTTGCCCAAAATGAGTCTTGGTCTTGCAGTCTTGGTCTTGTTCTTGCATTTTTGCAAGATCAAGACCAAGAACAAGACCGCCTAATTTTAGCAAGACCAAGACCAATACTGACCGTGCAAGATTTGAGCAAGAACAAGAATAAGCCTGCGAGACTCTTGCGTCTTGCAGTTAGGAATGAGTGTCGTTTCAGGGAGTATAGGAGTTCGGGTATACGCTTAGGGAGTCTATGAGACGCAAAAAATATATAAAAAAAATTTGGAAAATTGGACTTATGCGCATTACGAACAATACCATAAACATACACAGCGAATGAAAATATCCATTAAAAGAAAAAAGAGCATCCCTAGTTTAGACCATCGACACTTTGATAGTGCGCGGCGTCTTGTTGTCGGCATCATCAAAGGTCGAATACTGACCTGTCAAAGAAATTTTGCAGCTATTCGGAAGTACAAGATACACGCGCCGGCGGCTTCTATTGATATCGCATACAATCGTCGCCGCCCTGCCGCACGTACAACATTTGACACTGTTTGAATGCCGCCATAGAGTACATGTTCCAAAGTATAAAATAAGTTTCCGGGTGCTCAGAATGGACACGAATACGTTATGCTGATCTCGCAAGGAATATTGTAATTAGATAATGGTAAGGATAGGTAGATACCATAATAATTTATTCTAGTAAGTAATTATTATAATATTAACTATATGGGTTTATAATAATTACTTACTATTATTATTATTACGTAACAGATAAACATGTTCAATAAGTTCACTGCAAATCTCCATTTTTGGAAGTGTGTGTTTTTGAACACAAAGTGTACAAATATGTCGTCATCCATTTGATAAATATTGTAGACACTTTTAACACACTTGAAACGTGTAAACATTTTGTACAGTGCTAATCGAATAATATAAAAAGTGTGCATATTAAATAAAAAGCGTAAAATAAGATCTATGTATCTTTTAAGGAGCCCGAGTATTTCTTAGAGAACCGTTTCAAGAAATTGATTGCATCGAATTGATGTAAATAATAGTGATTTGCACAATTTTAATAGTAGAAATAAAAATAAAATCACAATACCTGCTTTCCGGTTACACAAAGTATATAATGCGTTCTTGGGTAGCGATATACGCTTTTATAATAAGATTCCAAAAGAAATGTTAGATCTTTCACCTTTTCAATTTAAGTCAGACAAAAATGCTTGGAACTGACCTCTCCTACTACACAGGACTAACTAGAAATTTCTAAACCTATTTGGTATCTAAATATACATTTGACATTTTGTTTGACTTATCGCTTTACATAATTAGAGTACTATTGTAAAAATAATTTGAAAAGAGCAACTACTGAGTTTCTTACTTTCTTCCATGATTCTTCTCAGTAGAATCAGAACCCCTGGACATGGAAAAGAAAGAATTGGGGAAAACAGTGATTATATGACTATTCAAAAGTGTATTTTTAATACCTACTTGAATAAAACATATTTGAATTTCGAATTTCAACGAGTGAAGGCAAATTTAATGTAATTAACGTAGATTAATTAAATCACAAGAAGAACATAACATACACAATTTTATTTACATATTTACATTTCATTTTTACGTAGGCACACTATACCTATCTGGCAACGCATCTACTTTATTAATCTTCTGAAGAATCGTTATTTTTATCAAAGAATGCCGAACTTTCCTTTGTCGGTCTTTCGGCGTGTACTTACAAATAGTAGTATTTATTTTAATTCCAGTCATTCCCAATTGAGCTTTGCTTCGAGTCTAATGCATTAATTGTTTTTACTCTAATCCTTGTTGTTCTCGGAGTGATAAGTTTACAATTTGACATGAGTGACGAAGAGTCGAATAGTTCTAGTCGGAGTAGTGAGAGTTGGAGTTATAGACCTAAAAGACCTAAAAGCAAATTTGATGAATTTTTCGACATAATTCAAGCATCCGAAAATGCTT